ACCGAGGTTTTATAATGTACAGGCCCGTTGAGGTTCAGGGTCTTTCATCTTACAACTGCCTGCGAGCACGTTGGAGGTGCAAGATATCTGAGCGTGTAATGTTAATTTTACCTGTGATCCTTTGAATAAATCAGCACTGTTTTGAAGTTACTTGGACTGCCTCGTCTCTCAGAGTTAGCAAGGTAGCAAGACACCTAAAGTTGCAAAGCAGTGAAGAGATGGGCTGAGGAGGCCAAGACAGAGCTACAGGCCTGCTTTGACTGTATAGACTGGACGGTTTTTGAAGCTGCAACAACAGACTTGAATGAACTCATTGACACTGTCACACCACACATCAGCTTTTGTGAGGACATCTAATTATCGACTGATATGGGTTTTTCAATGGTTGATCCCAATGCCATTTTTTTAGAGAGCAGAGAGGCCTACAGAAATGGGGACAGGATGCTATGCAGGCAAGCAAGGGAGATCATGGGAGGTCAGAGCAGCAAAGAGAAGCTACTCTGATAAGCTGAAAAGCCAGCTTTCTGCCAACAACCCTGCCACTGCATTGAGGGGTCCACTGTGGAAAACAATCAACTTCCACATGACCTGAATGTGTTCTACTGTAGCTTCTCAGTTATCCAGGTCATAGTAAGCTGAAAAAAATTAGAAAAATCAATTGGACTAGGTCTTTAGGTCAAAGACGTTTCACCTCTCATCCAAGAGGCTTCATCAGTTCTGCCCAACTGGCTTTGAGTCGGAGATATTTATCCCCATCGGTGGTGTTTCAATCCTTTGATGCCCAACAATGTCCCCTAATGACTGAGTCGTTATAGCCCAGTATCGGTGAGCACTGTTACCTGTCTTTGAACCCTCATCTGTGGACCGACGCCTATTGTCCGGGTAGGCATGTTTGGGCAGAGATCTCAAAACAGAGTTGTAGATGGATGACAAGTTGTGTCTTAGTCCACCACCCCTATTTAGTGAGGGGTGTTCTATTTGGACAAAAATTGCTTCCTTGACATTGTTGGGCATCAAAGGACTGAAACACCACCTGATGAAGCCTCTTGGATGAGTAGTGAAATGTCTTCGATCTAAAAACCTAGTCCAGTTGATTGTTCTAATTTTTTTCAGTGTTCTATTGCAGGTTTGACAAGCAGCAATTAACACCCCTCACCCACATCATCCCAGACACACCACCAGTAATGGCTCCCCCTACAACCATCTCCACCCCTATGGCCCCCCCAGACCTGACAATCTGTGAAAAATAGATGTGCATGGCCACTTTAAGAGTCAGAAGATCAGGAAAGCACAAGGTCCAGATGGTGTGACTCCCTCCTGCCTGAAAGCCTGTGCTGATGAGCTGCCTCCCATCTTCACACATACTGTATGTTCAGTAGATCATTGGAGCTGTGTAAAGACCCCTCCTGCTTCAAACACTCCACCATCATTCTGGTCCAAGAGAAACCATTCATCAGTGGACTGAATACTACAGACCTGTTGCCCTGACATCTGTCATCATGAAGTGGTTTGATCCCAGATATCCTCCACTCCAAACTCATCCAGCTCACCGTGCCCGCCCACACCTGTCAGTGCAGCTTTCAGACAGACAGACAGACATCAGGTGATGATAGGGAAAACCACATCCAGCACCTGTTCAATCAGCACAGGTGAAGTGTACTCTCCCCACTACTATTCTCCCTCTACACAAACGACTGAACCTCAGATGACCCCTCTGTTAAATTCCAGAAGTTTGCAGAAGACACAACAGTCACTGTGTTAACAAGTCTGCACACAGACAGGAAGTTGAATGGCTTGCCTTGTGGTGTGGTGGCAACAACCTGGAGCTGAACACACTCAAAACAGTGGAGATGACAGTGGACATCAGGAGGTCCCCCAGCACCACCCTACCATACTTAGCAGCACTGTATCAGCAGTAGAGACCTCGTGTGGGCAATTTTATCATTTACACACACAGCACAAGAGCCTGGACCTTCCCAGTACTACATGATTCAATAGCACATTTCAAGTGTTTTTAACATTTCCTGGTTGTTTAATTTCTGTACAAACCACTGATGTAAAAGGAAAGCGAGCAGCGCCGACAGCGATGGCGACCGAGGTACCTCGCGCTCTCTTGTGTTGTTTTTCTTTGTTTTCTTGGTCTTGTTATACCCCAGTTCTTTTACTGGACAGAACTGAGTAGAAAAGGAGTCCGTCTTTCTTGATTTTAGTGCTGGTTTATTTATATATATATATGTTTATACATATATATATACATATATATACATACATAGATGATATCATGACAAACCGTCATAATATTTCATGTCTTTAGTCCATTAAACTGTTATACCCCGGTTCTTTTACTGGACAGATCTGAGTAAATAAGGGGTCCGTCTTTCTTGATTTTAGTGCTGGTTTATTTACTATATATATATATGTGTGTGTGTAAAAAGGATTACAGAACACAACCCAGGGCTCCCTCCTCCAGACAAGCTGCTGGAGAAGAGAGCAGTGAAAAAAAGCACATGGAAACACAGAGCCTAATACATTTATCAGTTCTGGGCTAACCCCTTACACAGACAGCTGTAAAAACATCAGGAGCTGGAGACAGTCCGACGTCTCCTTCTATTATCTAGAGCTCTGCATGCTTGGAGCAGCTGGACATAACAAAATGAAGAATTCCATGTGTGCGTATGTTGTATGCGTGATGTGTAACTAAACATTCATTCAGACATAATTCTTACCCAAGATTAATACAAGAAAACAATTGATGTCATGGCTTGCTGCTAACCTTGAAGCAGAGCACACAGGAGCAGACTTTGAATCTTACTAAACTGCATTACTAACACATAGTGAAGTCTAACACATTAAAGAGTAATAATTATCTGACTGATTTATTAATTTCTAACAATGTGCAGAAGGTCTTTTTGGGCACACACACCTCCTCACAGAAACTGGTATAAGATGTCACAGTGTCAGTGAGTCCATCCAGGTCTGTAGCTGCGGACTCAAATACACTCCACACTTACTTGGTGAGGCAAGCAGTACGCCTGCCTCAAAGCAGAGGGCGCTAGTGAGCCCACAGATTTTTGCGCTACCTACAATCTTCTTCGTGCTTGTATATATTTCCTTTACAATCCGCCTTATCAAAATGGAAGATTACATTTACAAGCTGAGAAAATTCGCAAATCTGGACTTTCAGTCAAAACATTTTTGACAGTCTGGACACTTTTGTCCAGAAGGATCTTCTTTATTGAAAAAAATTGTTTTAATATTGGGTTCGAACGGTAAAAGGGTTTGTAATACATACCAGCTGACAAATGGATTTCGTGTACAAGTAAAGGTAAGACCATAAACTTTTATTATTTCTAGTTAGAAATAAGCTCAACTGGAATAAATTTTAACCTCAAATTAAATATGGGTCACGTTTGTGTGAAGAATGCTGATATGAGATATAAAACATAACGCATTGTCTGTTAACAGACAATTTGTATTTGTAAATCTGACTGTAAAAGAGTTAGTGCCTCACCAGCTGTCAACCTCATCGCACGTCACTGTATATTAATATGGCTTGCCATCTCAACCTCACCGCGCGTCACTGCCGGGTTCGACTCCAGGTTGCGTCAAGAAGGGCATCCCGCGTAAAACATGTGCCAAATGTTAACATGCAAGTCATCAGTGTGACAATTTGCTGTGGCAACCCCTAAATGGGAAAAGCTGAAAGTGACTTTCCTTTCCTTTCTTATGCTAGTTTACTGTTTGCACATTGAGAGCCGATGTACCAGAGTCAAATTCCTTGTGTGTCCAACATACCTGGCCAATAAAGCAGATTCTGATTCTGAAAAGCAAGACAAGTCACATGGACTCACAGTTGTTTTGTTGTGTAACCAGTATAGGGCCAATGTGTTTTTTTTTCTTGTGGCCTTCGTCAAGGTCATTCACCAAACCTGCTATGTACAGGCTCACAGAGCTTCTTTATACTGTTGCTGACGTTTTGACCTTTCCAGATTGTTCTCCCTACTCCATGCACCTTAGCAGTGGATGATGCCAGAAATGACTCCTCTTCTGGCATTTGTGGCAGATAAACATCTTCAGGTGCAATACAAACATTGCCACAGATCAGATTTGTGATCTGACCAATGCAGACCAATATATGTGACTGTGAACAAAAGATCATGAAGATGATTTTTTGTGTCCCAGCAGAAAAGATACATGCTACCTTTTCAGGTAGTATTTTAGCTGTATGCATGTCTTAGTAATTGCATGCATCTCAACTAGCACCAGACGTCCCAGTGTCCAGTGTTTC